CCATTACAGTTGTCTACCATTCCCTTCTACTACAGTTGTCTACCATTCCCGTCTCCCTCCAAGACAGTTGTCTACCATTTCCATCTCCCTCTACAGTTGTCTACCATTCCCATGTCCCTCCACAACAGTTGTCTACCATTTCCATCTCCCTCCACAACAGTTGTCTACCATTTCCATCTCCCTTCCACTACAGTTGTCTACCATTACAGTTGTCTACCATTCCCTTCTACTACAGTTGTCTACCATTACAGTTGTCTACCATTCCCTTCTACTACAGTTGTCTACCATTCCCGTCTCCCTCCAAGACAGTTGTCTACCATTTCCATCTCCCTCTACAGTTGTCTACCATTCCCATGTCCCTCCACAACAGTTGTCTACCATTTCCATCTCCCTCCACAACAGTTGTCTACCATTTCCATCTCCCTTCCAACAGTTGTCTACCATTCCCTCCCTCTACAGTTGTCTACCATTTCCGTCTCCCTCCAAGACGGTTGTCTACCATTTCCGTCTCCCTCCAAGACGGTTGTCTACCATTCCCGTCTCCCTCCACTACAGGGCGTACCATTCCCATCTCGCTCAACAATTGTCTACCATCCCCGTCCCCCTCAACGACATGTCTACCATCCCCGTCCCCCGTCCCCTACAGCGGTGTACAGTTCTCATCTCGCTCAACAGTTGTCTACCATTCCCGTCTCGCTCAACATTAGTCTACCATTCCCGTCTCCCTCAACAACGTGTGTCTACCATCCCCGTCCCCCGTCCCCTACAGCGGTGTACAGTTCTCATAAGAAAGGGTTATAGTTCTGCTGGGCCTGTGGCTGCATAGCTTGTGGCTGGTTGACTGGAAGTAGCGGGGCGGGCAGAAGTCCCGCGCTGACGGGCTGGGAGAAGCCTGGGGCGGCGCTGGGGGGATGCATGGCCGCCATGGGCAGACGCACGCCCGAGCTGGGGTCTTGGAACGGGTTGTTGTTCCCCGTCGTCATGGCAAACGGGTTGTTGCCTGCGCACAGAACAGAAACCACAGCAGTAGAATATGACCATGGGTACAAACACATCAGAAAATATTCTTTTAAAAACCCCCAGAAATCTTCAGTATGAATGGAATGCGTTGCAGAACAACAAGAAAATACTATAAAGTTTTGTACGTTTGAGTTTGAGTTGTAGTAAGTGTTTTACAACACTTGAAACACAATAAGGTCATATAAGTGCCAAAGATTAGAGGTGTTACAAGAGAGTAACAAGCACAAAAAAGAACGAGGAGAGATCGGGACGATAGATGTTTGACAGGAAAGAAGGAGCAGTATGACTATGGGCACAAAAACACCACTGTCCCGTTTCTCCCCTCGTGTTTTGTTACACCGGCACCTAAAAGATGTACTGCTACTGTTCCCACAACTTAGATAACATCAGACAAGATAACAAGATAAGATAAGACAAGATAAGATAATACTTAATTGTCTGGGAGGGAAATTTTTCTTGGCAGTACCGGGCTGTAAAAACACATGCAGGTACACATAGAAATTAAATCATTAATCACACACAGGTTTATAACAGAAATTAAATAATTAATTATACACATAATTAATTACATTATTATGTAGCTATGGGCTTCAGTTTACCCGCACGCCCAGGTTGTCCTCAAACTGATCAACTTTCTTGCACTCAAATCTCCTCCAGAGCAACAAATCTCCGGCTAAGAAAACACTCACACACCAGTGAGCTCACGTGTCGACAGTACTGAGCCAGCCCTGAAAACAACATTGCTCCATTTTCATGGCATCGCGTCTTCATTCAATCATTCATCGATCAACCAGATTTTAAAAAAGCTCACACAAAAAAAACGTAGGTTTGGATGAGGGAATCGTGTATGGGGGGAGGGGAAGGAGGTGAGGAGGGAGGGATCACACGCATAGAGGGGAAGGAGGTGGGTAAGGAAAAAAGGCTCCCCTCAACAGCACAACACAACTGGCCCTCAACCAGGCGCAGAGACCAGCGTCCAGGGACCAGCGTCCAGTGACCAGCGTCCAGCGAGTTCTTTCTTTGGAAAAACAGGCTCCCAGCCGCCTGAATCTCCTCGGCTCCCCCCATCCCCCACCGACCACATACACACACGACATACAAACCTTTCGGTGGTGCTTTCGACACCAACTGATCCAAGTTCACCAAATTGGCGTTTGCACCCAGAAAATCTTCTGCACTTTTCTTTTTGTTCTCGCCCAAGTCCTGCCCTAGACCGCTCATATCAAACGCCCCGGCAGACCCATTGGTCTGGGAGCCACCTGCAATATGTGGAAAAAAAATGTTTGTAAATCGTTGGAATAAGGTGCTAATAAATGTTTTGTTTTAGTTTTAGTAAGCATTTTACGGCGCTTGCAACACAACAAGGTCATATAAGTGCCTAAGACTAGAGGTGTTACAAGAGAGTAACAAACACACAAAAAGAAGGAGGGGAGATAAAGACGATAGATAAATGTTTGATAGGAAAGAAGAAGCAAACCACACTAGAGCACCCGCCAACCACCCAAAAAAAAAAAAAAATGTTGGTATATCGGTGGAATAAGGTGCTCGTCAATTTTTGGGCACATAGACTAGAGTTGTTGCTATCAAACTACAGCTACATGTACTTTTCTAGAACTTGGCGACAAAATATTGATCTATCTTGCACAAAAGTAGAGATACACTTTGCGATTTCAGAAGGCGGGGGTTACATGTTCAGTAAATGGAGAAGGCTGCTGTGCAAATAACAAAATCCCGAGAAAAAATCACCCACCCACCTGTCGAAAAAATACTGATCAGTGTGTGTGTGTCACAATGCGGTGGAATCAAATGAACATCCATTTTTGGTTTTAGTTTAGTTTTAATAGAGTTTTTACGGCGCTCGCAACGGCATAAGGTCATATGAGCGCCAAGGGCTGGATGTCAACAGAGAAGTCCATATAGGGAATCAGACAAGTGTGAGTGTGTGTGTGTATATATATATATA